TTCCTAAAAATGTAAGATTTTAGTGAAAATTAATATCTATGAATCTAATAATCCGGGACAAATTTGTTTTTGAATTTTATTAAAAGACAATTTGTACTATTTAAACAAATATTTATTAAGTAAAAGGTTTTTACAGGGTGGTCAAAATATTAGACTTTTTTTAGCACATTCAAGCTGTAATTAAATTCATATTTTAAATGGACACCCTGTATTTTATTAGTCTGTCCTGTGGCAAATTTACTTAGCTTTCAAACTACGTTGGGTTTACCATATCTATATATTTTTATTTTGAAACATTTAAAGACTATCTCTCAATATTAGTACATGTTATTTCGGAAATCTGCGCCGCCACAGAAAGCTCTGTTAAAAATTTTTAATTAGTTTTCTATCATTAAAAAAACAGTAAATTTTAGTATGTTACTTTACTCAATAAAAATTATATTTTTGGTTATAGTGAAATGCAAATTAATACCATGTTTCTGCAAAACTCGCCAATATACATAAAACATTCATTGTCTGGTTAAAAACCGATAAATTTAAATAATTGATGACGCTAGGGTTTCTATGCAATGTACTATAGACCTAATCATTTATTCAGCCACACGTCGGCACCACTAAATATAGCAGCAAGTAACTTTAATATTAATCACTTCGATGAAGTCACATTGATATTTTGTCCAGTGTATTTAGTGACAAGTCTGTAAACGCTACAATATTTTCACCATGCAGTTTTTGTCCTGCTATTATAGTTTTGAAAATATTAACTTATTCCAAATCTCTACTAAATTATTTATTCAAATTTTAGTAGCAACATAACTCAATGGGGTAAATATTGTTCCTCCCGCTGTATATATTAAATGTGTGTACCATAACATCGATTACAAATTTCAGCATGCACCTACAACACCTCCCCAAAAACTTGCTTTATTTTTCCGTCCCTAGCATATAGGTGAAGTGATGGTGGTCATGGAACGGCATTCAGTAATCTGCTTTTTATAATAAATCTCTTCAGACAGGTAAGTGACATACTGAGTTGCTGTTTGGGGGCACTCACAAATTCAAATAAATCGAGGGACATAAATTTAATATTTTATCTAAATACAAAAGTCAATATCTTGATTGCAAATTTCATTGAATTATAGAGGTTACAAAGAACTAATACAATTTGAAATTGGGCCTAAAAAAGTTTTAAAACATTAGAATTTTGTAGTTGCAAAATATTTATTAAATGGTAATAAAAAGCAATTTGAGCTTTTCTTGTGATTTTTAATAAAAGCTAACCAATATTATATGCGAAAAATTCATAGAATGCAACTTATTAAAAGAAAAAAAATTTAACCAACATTCACCGACTAGGAAGTTCATGGCAACAAATTACAAAAAAAAAAGGTCAATATTCAAGGACTTTAATTCGTTTGAAGTCCTTTAAATAATTAATTATTTTAGAGTTTTAAGAGTACTAAAAAAATAATTTACGGAGTGGTCAAATTCAAACGAAACTAGTCGATGTTTGTTTTAAGGTAGACCCCCTTTCCGGATATTTTAGGCTTCGTTTAAACCACTTTCATTGCCCCAAAATATTTGAATTGAAGTGAGGCCTTACAATAATTGGATTTTCAATAGTCCAAATATTATCAGCATTTATTTGGTAAATATTCTACTTTAACTACATTGAATTATATAAAACAAAGGCAACGTGTTTTAAAGCACTACAACAATGCATACGGTAGAGAGAGTCAAATAGTTAGCTGCTCGAGTGACCCTTCGCATAGCAAAGCGTCATCTCAGCAGTAGCTGGTCCAATCCGCCGCATTGGATTTTTCACATCAAAATATATTTTAAAATTTATATTATGTGGATCTACATTTTTTGTCTCAAACAACAATTACGTTGATAAATATGTAATTCATAATTATTATTATATTTTTACATCCGAGGCTGCTGGCATACAGAAAGAGAAAGGACTAACTTGAAGTGTCACTTATTATTGTGAGCACATTGTAATATTATTAGTCCATCAGGCAATATTACAAGCTGTTTGTAGCCCTTAGATGATTTCCAAAACTCCATTATTCTTGATATAAAAAAATTAATACATGAACTAAACTTCACACAGAAAACAGTTACTTTACTCTTTTTAATTCGAATGTTAATAAAAAAACTCTCTTTCGAATATTTGTAAGACGCGTAGTTAAACGTTATGCAGAGTGGAACAAAAACGGCAACACTTCTACTGTTTTGTAAATTATATTATGGATAACTATCAATGCGGAATATATAACGTGGCTCAACACACTGAAAATCTTCTATAATCACTTGGTAGATAGTTATTGTAGAATCCTAACTTATATACCCACAGCCATTTTGCTTTTTAATACATATTTATTTTTAACATATTTACTGCACAAGATCTAAATTTCGAATTGTAGTTACTAGTTCAAGGAACCAACAGTTTTTATGTTTAAGTTATATTAATTAAATAAAGGGTTTGGCGGGTTAAGATAGTGAAAAATTCACCCAGCGATTTTTCAAAAATAAAAACACCATAATGTTCTATAAAAATTTTTAGACACCTACGCAACTTAAAATAATGATTGATTAGTGTGAGAAAGCTCTGCAGATCTGTTATAGTAAAAATTACAAAAAAAGTCATTAACAAAAATTGTAGGCAGCTTTAAACTCCATATTTTAAAATTAGTTACAATCTTACAGGGTGTTCAATAAAATGGTGGCAGACCAAAATTATATTTTTTTAAACGAAACATCCTGTATTTTATTTTAAATTTGAAATCTGCTTCACTTCCACATCACAATAATGCAAAGTTTTATTATGTTATATCGGGTATTTAAAAAGTTATAACCAATTTTTTCTATGTGTTGTTTTTTTATTTTCCGTCGGTTATTTTTTATAAATTTTATTTGAAATAAATTGTTTTCTTGTCTTTTCCTGTCTTTTCTATGTGTTATCTACCAAATTAATACTTTGATGGAAAAATACTTCATAAAATTTGAAGTACGATATTAGTACTTTTCGATAGTGGTATAAAATACAGGGTATTCTATTTAAAATTACCAAGAAAATAATATACTTGCATTTTGACTTACCCTGTATTTGATTTAACGAATATAATGAAAACGAATATGTCGGTCAGATAGCCAAGCGGGCTAAGCGGCCGATTCTTATTCGCTTCACTGTCGAATGGTTTAGTGGATGTGGGTTCAAGCCCCAGCTCGGTGTACAGAAAAATAAAAAAGGCTAACGCAGCAGTTTAAAATTGCAGCTTAGACTAGGATATGCTGGTGTCTGATCCGCATATGGTGGAGCAGTACAACAAGAGATAAGGGCTTGCGGATCGGTGCTAGATCCCTACCGGAAGGGCGTGCCGCCTAAATACCGGTATATAAATATATGAAAACGAATATGTTTTATAATTTTTAACAATTATTAAAAAACTATGGTTGCAATAGATCAAAGTTTTCATACTCCTTTTTAATTATACAGGGAGTTAAACTTGATACGATTTGCAGGTAATATTGGTTATAACTTATTAAATACCCGGTATAACCTAATAAAACTTTACATTGTTGTGATGTGGAAGTGAAGCAGATTTCAAATTTAAAATAAAATACAGAGTGTTTCAATTAAAAAAAAACATAAGTTTGGTCTGTCACTAACTTATGGAACACCCTGTAAGATTGTAGCTAATTTTAAAATGTGGAGTTTAAAGCTGCCTACAATTTTCGTTAATAACGTTTTTTTTGTAATTTTTACTATAACAGATCTACTGAGCTTCCTCACACTAATCAATCACCCTGTATATATATATATATATTCCTTTTCCCGGAATAATTGTTCAACATATATATATATATATATATATATATATATATATATATATATATATATATATATATGCATGAGTTAATATACACAAGTAAAACATGCTATCAACTAAGTTTTACCTACTATTTTTACAATAAATTTTAAAAATTTTATAATGTATTGTGTCCATAATAATTGTATATTTTAATGTTTTAATGTGTGTTATAAATGTTGAGTGTAAATGCTTATATAAATAATCTCAACGACTAGTAAGTTACACTGAAGAATTGTGATATTTTTTAAATATTTACATTTTTGTCTTATTGCAGTGTCTTGAAAAAGGAATAAAACCATTCCGAAAGCTCGACAAAAAAGTCAAAAGAGTGTTTTTTTAACATCCCGGCCAATATTCTGACTGCAACCCTAATAAACTGTTTTATTTGTTTATATCGACAGTCAATAATATCCAGTATTTCTTATATATATATATATAATATATATATATATATATATATATATATATATATATATTATATATATATATATATATATTATTCGTTGAATATTGAATTATCTCCATGATTGTTTTCACATTTTCACTATGATTCCCAACCAATAAAAATCTGAAAAAAAATCATGAAGATAACTTGACACTCAATCAATCATTTTTGCAGTGGCGTTTGAGACAGTTTTTTTAAACAAATTTTAAAATTTTCAAAAGCGTTCAAAAAATTGATTTTCTTGCCAAAAATTTTGTAAAAAATATCAGGATATAGACAATAGAATATCCTACTAATTTAAAAAAAATAATGAGTTTCTACCATGATTAGAACCGAAGATATCCTTAAAAACGAAAAAACACGTTTTAATTTTTGTTGAGATTATGTTTGGGTCTATGGCTCTAAAAATTTTTTTGGTCGGATACTTTTTTATATAGAACAACATGGTATTTTTGTTTCTGAAATATTGCTGGGGCATTTTTTACTATCTTAACCGGCTAACTCTTTGTATATCTAACGGAACAAAAATTGATAATGTATTTTAAAGTGACTTATCTTATGGTTTGAGGGCTCCCATCCTCTAGGAATTTATAAGAAGAAAGTGTGGTATACCAGCTTTCATCTAGTACAACTAAAATTTAGGTCGTGAAGACGTAATAAGCTATGTTCTGTTGCAGGAGTGACCATCTTGCTATCGTTGACTGTGTTCCTGAACCTCGTGGCTGAAACCTTGCCCCAAGTATCTGATGCCATTCCCTTGTTAGGTACCAATCGTTATTTTGTCTGACCTGCCTGTGCTGGCTATACATCCTCAGTGCTGCCTGATGAATTATGTATCGTTGTGTATTTGTGATTGTTGTGTCCGCGCGGGTTCAGCTTTATTGGCACCTTAGATAGATTAGTGAAGGCTACAGGATGAAATGGGGAATATAGCAATATATTTAATTGCTTCTTGCCGATATAAAATCTCTGACAATCATTTGAACCTATTAGATCCATCGGATTATATTGAAATGCTCCCTTAAAATGTATATTCCCATTAATTAAAACCTACTAGATTCCGATTTTCACTCGTTTTTATTGTTTTACCAAGTAATCAATTAAAATTAAACTATAAAATTTTATCTGCTTGCTTTAAATTTTGTAAAATTTGGATTTTTAATATTGCTTTTTAGTTTTTTGATATATTTGAATTGCATGAAGTAAATTTGTAGTAGTTCATAGGTATTTTCTTTTAAATAGTTAGTCGAAGATCATAACTTTCTATTTGTACTTATTTGAACTTTATGTGACTTTAAAAAGCAAAATAACTAATAAATGTCATTTCTATAAAACCATTTCAGAGACGTCAAATATCCCGAATAATGTTTCGTACAATCTACCTGCTATACCAACATCTTCCAGTAACATTTTACAATAAGGAAATTCCAAATATCTTAGTCAAATAAAAAGTACCGATGCTAATATAACAGCGGATAGCAATATAAATATATTTAATTCTCAGAGATTTTTTCGTAAACTTATTGTTACATTCTTCCATTTTTCTGTAGACTTCATTTTATTTCATTATGACGTGGCGATCAAAGAAGAAATGTTTTAGGGCAAAAAGTGGTCTGGAAGGAAGTGCTGTTATGGTAGTTTGGATATGGTCTCGTTGTGTTTTGTTACTGAATGTAATTTTGTGTTTGTGTTTTTTTATCAATTTTATCTTTACAATTTTTTTGTAGTGTTATTGCAGTTTAAAATTTTTGCTTTAAAATTTGATTTTTTATCAGAACTAAAATAACTTATAACTCTTATAAGGGTGCTGGCATTTTTAAATAATAATGGGAAAACGAATTGGCTTTTATTTAAAATATGTTTGCTTAAAATAGGGATGCAATAAATAATTGCTAAGTACAACTTTATAAAAAACTATTTTTAGGAAAAATTATGGAATAATAAAAATATAATGTACCAATATTTTACTAGTCAGTACAATTCATTAAGCTATTTAAGGTCACTTTTACAAAATCAAGCAAAATTATATTATTACTAATATTTATGTATTGATCATATATCCCAAAACTCACGTTTACAAATGTGTAGACAAACAAAATACTTTATTTAAAAGATTAATCTTATTTGTTCAATAATATTTAAACCAAATAAATTTTAAATTCAAATAATTTAAATTTACTTATAAATATGTATTTTCATGTAATAATATTGATTAGTTTTATTTTTTCCTCTTTTTGATGAAAGAAATTTTATTTAGTCTTGAGTCTTGAAATATTGGTCTAATCCTATACGTAGTAATAATATTGTTTTGTATTTTTTGTGAATAACGTAATTTATTTGGTTAAAAGGGGATGACAGGGTATTAAAGCGGTAATTTGCCGCAAACATTTCCTCTTTGACTCAAACGTTAAAACGGGAAGGGAGCCGGATACTTGGAAAGGAGGGCCGTCTTGTTCAAATATTTTAAACACTGAAATATTAAAAGAAGTGTTTATTTTTCACTCTGTGACTTAATGTCAGTTGGTAACAATTCACAGTATAAAAAATTCCGTAGGCTTTGTTTTGTTTAATCGTCAGTCAATATAAAATTGTGCTTTTGTACATTTATATTAATTTTTAATTTTATTTATTTCAGAAATTTTGAATCATCTTTAGGCAACTCAATAAAGAATTTCATTTTTGGTTATAGAGCTTGTCATTTTCAAATTTAAATTACTTATAGAGACAAAAATATAAGTAGTATATTAATTATTTACTGCTATAAGACTTTTTAACAAAATAAATTAAGTAATATAAAAAAGTATTGTAACAAAATATACGCCTATCCTATCCCTTCCATTTTTTTTATCAAACATATAATTAACTTTTTCTCTGTAATACTTAATAATTTTAGTCACATTTTTCATATTATTCTATTTGCATTTGACATGTTAATTTAATATATTTCATGTCTTTTCCAACCATTTGATTTTTTTTATGTTATTTTACAATAAATAGCAATCACTATTCTCTCTGTACTCATTGCCTCTTTATGTAGTTCTTTTTTCATTTTCTGTCTTCTACTTCCGGTGGCATCTCCTATAAAAAGGTTGACAATCATCAGGGCAGTTCGAATTTTTAATACCGCTGCTCTAAACAGGTCAACGAATCCAGATCCTTAAATTGTTTTAGGGAACTATGACGACTATCCCTTCTCTATATTCTCGTTTGTATTTTTATTGGAATCAAGTTTTATCATTTACCTCTCATGGCACGTGTTAGATATTGTAATTTTTTAATTTTAATAGTGGTAAAACCGTTTTTTCTCTTTCTATTCTTATAAATACCTCGACATTTGTAACTTGATCCGTACAGCTTATTCTCAGTATTATTCTATAAATCTATAATTAAAAGGATCTTAATATATCTGTTATATCTTTCTTCTGGGTTCAAGATTCTATTCCATATATGATTACGAAGAATACAAACGCGAAACCACCAGAAACGTTATATTAGTACAAGTTTCTCAAGTGTGCGAGGAGTATGCCGGTGGTAAGAACAGACTCACTTGAAGATCTGGTTCAGGTCGAGGCAAAACTATGACAGCTAGAGCTAGAGTCACAGCAGTTTTCCTTTGAAATGATCTGCAAAAAGTGACGAATTTATTGGGAAGTAAGGGGGCCGTTAGGGGGCGGCTTCCTGATGCTGTCTTATTTTCTCTAACTAGACCTACCTACTCGCTTGTCGCTCTCGCATAAACATCGGATTGCCAGATTGAAAAGTTTGCAAGAGAACACGTAGCTTAGATAAATGCGGATAGGAGCTTAGATATACTTGTAAGAATGTAACAAAGAACAGGTGAGAGTAACGCTCAAACGTGTTTTACCATAAGACTTCCATTTAATGGAGAATTTACTATGTCATAGAGAGACATATCTTTTCAGGCTCGCACGGAGTTAGTCTTTATCGAGAATCACATGTTTATTGTGCAAAGATACCTAACAATAGTTTAATAGTTTTAAAAGTCCAAATTTTATCCTTTACGGTTATTCTTGGAGACGACGCAATGTTTATTTAAAATGATACACAGTCCCACACTGCTCGGATAATTACTGAGTATCTTGACGAAGTTCAAATTTTTTTCCGGCTCTCATTCCAAATTTAAATTACATTGAATATGTTTGAGATGAAATGGTCAGTCGTTGACGGAGACATGTAAGGGCAAATTCTAGAGAGCTTCGCGATATACTGGTGCAGAAATATGACAATCTTCCGCAGATTGTAATCAAAATATCTTATTTAACGCATGCTTCGTTATGTATTACAAGCTATTATCACGGCCAGAAGAGAGTACACTCGCTACTATACTCCATAATTTTTTTGTTAAGACCATATCAATTATATTGTATAAATGTATAAAATTATTAATTTTCATTATGTTCAAAAAACTTTTTTTACTAGCAACCGTTTGGTATAAAATAAAAAATAAAAGTTCAACTTACGGGGTGATCCTAATTTTATGCTCCGCTGTATATATATATATATATATATATATATATATATATATATATATATATATATGAATATAGAGTGGTTCCAATGCAGATGGTTCCAATTACACAAAAACAGGGCTAAACCTATTTTGCAATACGAAGATTTGAAATTTGATATTCGTTTTTTTTTGAACCTATTCTCTATCCTTCCATTGTTGGATATAGGTCTCCCCCAGTTCTCTCCATCTTTCCCTATCTTGATCTGTTCTCTGCCATGTGGGACCTCCTTGTTTCCTGATGTCATCTTTCCACCTCATCTGTGGTCTGCCTCTTGATCTCTTTGCATTGTATGGACGCCACTTTCCGATGGCATTGTTTCATCGTCCGTCTTGAAGACGTTCACTGTGTCCAGCCCATTTCCATTTCAGTTTTGCTGCTTGTTCTATCGCGTCTACTGTCTTTGTTCTGGTTCTGATCCACTGGTTACGTTTTCTATCTCTAAGTGATACACCCAACATTTGTCTCTCCATCGCTCTTTGTGCCTTCCTTATCCTATCCAAATTGGCCTGTGTAAATGTCCATGTCTGTGCTCCGTAGGTGAGCACCGGTATGATACAGGAGTTATATACCTTGCTTCATAAGTATAGAGGGATTGTTTGATTTTTTAGAACGTAAGAAAGTTTGCCGAACGCTGCCCATCCCATTCTTACTCGTCTCGATATTTCGGCTGTTTGATTTTCTCTATTAGCTCTGATTGCTTGTCCTAGATAGATATACTCATTTACCTGTTCTATTTTTTCTGTTTTTATTTTTATTGCCTCTTGGTCTTCCGTGTTTGTCATTACTTTTGTTTTGTTGAAGTTAATTTTTAGGCCTTTTTGCAGTGATTTTTCATGAAGTTCATTCAGCATTAATTCCAGTTCTTGTCGTTCCGAGGAGATCAGGAGTATGTCATCCGCATATCTAAGGTGATTTAGGTATTTTCCGTTAATACATATTCCTCTGTTTTCCCAATCTGTTGATTTTATTATGTCTTCGAGGGCCAAGGTAAACAGTTTAGGTGAAATTATATCGCCTTGTCGGACTCCTCGTTTAACTTTTATATTATCCGTTATTAATTTGTCGTCCAGAATTACGGTCATGGTTGCGTTTTGGTAAATATCATGTATCAATTGTCGGTATCTTGAATTTATTCTACTATTGACCAGAGCTTCTTCAACCGCCCAGTGTTCAATGCTGTCGAAAGCCTTTTCATAATCTACGAATGCTAAGTACAGCGAAAGGTTGTATTC